AAATTTTAGGGTAATGACCCCCTGCCCACGCTCGACCTTGCCTATTCAAATTCAGCTTTCTCCTGCTTGCGGGTAACACGAACGGCCCCGTGAAAATTTTTGCGAATAAATTATTATTTCGGGGATTACCGAATATACGAAGCTGAAATTTTACGGCAATGATCCCCTGCCCACGCTCGACCTTGCCTATTCAAATTCAGCTTCCCCGCACCTGCGAATAGCACGAACGGCCCCGTGAAAATTTTTGCGGATAAATTATTATCTCGAGAACCATAAAAGCCAGGAAGCTGGAATTTTATGGTAATGTCTTCTGTCTACATACAATCCTGCAATTTTAAATTCAACTCCCCGTGTGCCCGGGCATCACTCACGGCCTCGTGGAAGTTTCGGCAGGGAAAACTATTATTTTGGCAGTCGCGGAAGTTGAGAATCTCAAATTTTAGGGTGATTTCCTCTAAAACGTACGACTTCGCAAATTTGAACTCTGCCTTCACGCGCCTCTGGGTATCACATACAGCCCCGTGAAAGTTTTGAAAGAGAAATTATTACCTCGTGTGCGTGAAATTTTTAGTAGGAAATACCGCACCTTAAGAACCAGTCAACATTTTAACTATTTTTGCACAGACTAAAGTGCAAAGCAGTGAAAATCATCAGTAGGCAATCGTTCAGTGAACGCAATTGCACAAAACGCATGATCGCACCGGCTGCCCTGGTGCGCGTCGCTATTTATTGCATTTCCGTGCACAAACATCAACAATGCGTGCATAAATGCTCCGATGAACACATAAACGCATGGATTTTTGTCTGAGTATGTGTCCCGAATAATGTAACTTCGAGAAAAGTCTAAGAACGGGACTTCCGGGACACACGATCACTAGAAGGTCAAAGACCCACACTAACCTCTTTGTGCTCCATCTAAGACAGTAGCTTAAATCCAAAACCACGTGGTGATATGGTAACTACAACAATGCTGAAAAAATTAATAACGCATGAACAAAGGGGCGAAATACCGGGAGTAAGACTGGATAAAATGCATTATATCGGATTTTGGACTTGCCAACCTCTTGCTTACGTAACGACTAGAGGGTAAAACAACAGTATACATGGCCAGTGAGGGCAATACCGAAGCGGAAGAAATCTTTACAGATTTGAGTGTGAGAAATGAAATCGAAACTGACATTTGTGCTACCCACGGCAACATCCGCGTCCACGCCTGAATCGGAAATACGAATATCGGCAAGTTTTTCTTCAATATTCGGTAGCAGAGCAGCACTTCTCTGTGACTCATCAGG